TCTATAGACTGACCTGGTTAGGAATGTTTAACTTTGCAATGTGTTAACCTATTCGGTTACCACTTAGCCAGAGCTCCTCTTAATAAAGCACGTAACTATCAGTAGTAATAATATATATTTACGTCTGATTGCCTCTCGAAGGACTAACGTGAGGAACAAACGTGACAAGAAACAATTATTATCCACCATTCATTAGAGCTGGGTGACGATGCCATAACGATGGTGCTGCTCTAATAATGTCGCGTAAAGGTTGGATGGTTGGTATTGCTTTCTGTGATAAGTCATTACTGTATATTTTTATAAATAGAGTCCACCTATATTATTAATTAATTCTTCGATTTAAATTGACTAAACAACTTTTTTAACGATAGATGTTCTTTTGTGAATTCAAAGGTCTGACTTATCAACTTATCTCAGATTAAGAATACGGAGTGTCACCACCCACTTTTCACCTGTGGGTATCGTAAGAGCCGACTAAGGGAGCAAACTACGTAGGACGACAGCACTGCAAAGAGAACGAAAACTCAAAACAAACCCTATATCAATCCGTCTAGCCAGGTATAGTAGGCCATAATCTTTCTAAGAAGAGGCCTATGTCCAGCAGTGGACTGTTAAAGGCTGTTGATAATGTATCATCATGTAACCATTTGACCACGATGACCATCAATTATTTACCGTTGGAGAGCCTCTAACACCGAATATGTTTTGATTAAATAAAAGACCTTCGCCCAGTCAGATTATACATATCCCGAGATAGATACTTCCTAGAATTTTCAATCGAAGTTTTTATCTTCGGTTTGCTCAAGCCGGGCAAACAGTCATAACATAGTCAAAGCGAGATGAGTCTCTACTTCTTCAGTAAAGTGTTGTCACCATTTACATTACGAACAGAACTATAACGACTCTGCTAACAAATTTGAAAAAATTCTGAAAGGCTTTGAGTATCTACAGGTTTTTCTCCAGAAAAAAGCTCCTTTCAGAAGCTCTGATGTGATACTATCGTCACCGTCGTCTGAGCTGTTTCGGGCCAGTCCCATCTCGTACAGCTCGAATTTCGGATTATCTCTAGTTGGCTATTAAGTGTTCGGCTATACTTCTAGCAAATTTGTTATGCTGGAACATTTTTCTTATAGCTTAACATGCTTTTTCCCATAGACTTTTCTGGCAGTACTGAACACACATTTTAGAGCTATTAAAAACACTTTAAATTATAAGAGAGAGAGATTATACATTTCGGGCAACTTCAATTTAATGAAATATATTAAACAACACAAATTAGCATCAAAATACTGATGAAGGCTTAATCTGAATAATTAAAACTAATTAGTTCTAATTATAAGTGTTTTTACTAGACTTGCAACGAATATTCGGTTACTATTCGGTATTCGGCCTATTCGGCTGCTTTTATTATATTCGGCCGAATACCGAATATCTACATATTGTTCGGCCGAATACCGAATACTTAAATAATATATTTTGTCATCGAGAAATAATTGGTAAAATGAAAAATTAAAATCGATTGATTACGTATATATTCATATTTTCATTTCTGTTATAATCATTTAAGTAGTCATTGGTGCATAACACAGGTACATAATCATCTTCTGAATTGAAAAAATGGAGGATTCTATGTATTTGAATTATTGTGGTAATCAAAATTCAGAAGGGTAAGGTTTTCATTTCTTTTATAATCATTTATTAAGTAGTCATTGGTACATAAAACAGGTACATAATTTAATTCACGTCTGTACAAGTTTTTGGCGCTAAAATCCAGCCGAATACTTTTGCCTAATATTCGGCTATTCGGTCAGGGGCCTCGCCGAATATTCGGTATTCGGTATACTGCCGAATATACTATTCGTTGCAAGTCTAGTTTTGACATTGGACCGGAACTCGCGGGGGGCGAATCTGTGTCAAATTTATTCACTAAAGCACGATATTTTATTCATTCCCTAATATCAAAATACACGCAGCTCAGAGGCATTGTAAGAAATAGGGCAGTGGCACACGCCTTTCAGAAAGGAAAACAACTTAATGGTGATAAGCACGGAAGAATAAAAACAAGGGGAAGTAGAAGTACCATGTAATGACGCACTTGCGGTGCAATTATGCTTAGATACGCAATATTTACTGTATCCTAATTGGCTACTCACTATGTTACAACATATGGAACGCATAATTTGACCAATCACGTTGTTGATTGGTTTGGAATGTAATCAATCATTGGCATTTAATTATATATTTTTTAATGATATGTTTTATTACATACCCTGTCTTTATTTTGTTTATTTATAAAATTATCTATACTTAAACTCCATACATTGTGATAAAATAAATATTTGAAGGTGATGATCGAAACATACCAAAATCATCTAAGTATAATTATTCTAGAAACATACAGAAGATTACGCCTTATATCTTAGTTGGGGTCTAGAAAGTGCTGTATAGTTTAATTCAAAAAGTTCAAAAATTCAATTCAAAGGTGATACAACCATAATTTTATAATATTAGGAAGCGCTAGATTGAACGGCATATTGTAATGAAATGGGCGTGTTATAGCGTATACTTACACATACGTATAAGTATACACTCAAATATTAAATCATTTTTAAAACGTTGCTGTGTATTGTAGTATGTAGTAATCAGTATTATTAATTTGAAATACCCAAATGGATGTGGTTTGAAGTCTCGAATCAAATTTAAATAATATTATTATACCGTTAATTCTTCTTTATCGACTTCAACTGTGAAGTTAAACATAGTGAGGTGAATTGTAACAATTGAGAGGTTTTCATACTGTCCACGAAAGTTTGCCAAGTCAACCCAGTCAATAAAGCTAATGTTTTACACTTTTAGTGTAAATAAACGAAAGGCCACCCTCAGATAGTAAATTAGTTCATTTAATAACTGAAATAAGACTCCAATAATTAATAAACTAGATAGATTTCTTCTATTCAAAAGTTAGTCAGTCGTTTTGTATAATACCAGCTGTACCCTGCTAAGCTTCCCTGTGCCATATTTTGGTTGCAGAAAATAGCTAAGAATGATCTTTAAAGCGTGTTGTATATCAAGTCAAATTCTCAATCGGTCCAAAACACTTTGAAACGTACACAAACTAACTTAACATTTTTATATAATTTTAGATTTACAATACAAAAAACATAACGATAAAGAGAAATAATCGTTTTGACAGCTTATTGGATTGAATCGCCAAAGTCTGAAATAATCTGCCTTCGTCAATTTTTAGGGTTACGTATCTCAAAAGGTAAAAAAGGAACCCTTATCAGATCACTTTCTTGTCCGTCTGTCCGTCTGTCCGTGTGTCACCACCGATTTTCTCAGGAACGGGCAAATTTGGGCAAATATGATATGGCAAGAGATAGGCAAATTTCGATTTTCGCGAAAATTTGTAAGTACCAAAATTTACCTTATTTTTCAACTTTTTTTATTTTTCAGAATTTCTTCTTTACTTGTGCTTTAAGACAATGCTTTTAACCAAAATTGACAATTCTAGGTCAACCGGAAGTACCCTATAGGTTTTGGGTCGAAAACCTATATGGTAGTTCCCGTTGACCTAGAATCACGAAATTTCAATAAAAGAGTGAACTGGTTTCTCTTGGATAGGATTGTTATCATCTTCTAAACCGATATTTTCTTATCAAGGTAAGTTGGAAGACAAAAACCTGTTCCATTAATAATAAAAAAAGAGTTTCCCGCTTCCGTATGTTAATCTTTTCCCAGACAGATTGTGGAACATAAATAAGTGAATGTAGACGATCTATACGTGTTCTACTTTATTGAAGACATGTCGGCACATGATTTATACATGTTGGAACATATCCAGATATTTTTGGAGCATACAGGATCATAGTTACTCTATTTAAACGTGTTTTGGCGTTTAAAAGGAGTTATCGTTAACACTCAGTAGATTAATAAAATGTAATAATAATAATATTTATTATGCAATTGCACAAAAAATAAGATGATTAAAATGACCAAATTAAAGTATTTAAAAAAAAAGTACTGTATTAAAATTCAAATTTCTGCAATATAAATAGTTAGAAATTAATGTTGAATAAATCTTTATATATAACTAGCTGACCCAGCAAACGTTGTATTGCAAAACAAAAAAAAATAGGGATGGGTCACCCTTACCATTTAGGGGTACGAAAAATAGATGTTGGCCGATTCTCAGACCTACCCGATGTGCACACAAAATTTCATGAGAATCGGTCAAGCCGTTTCGGAGGAGTACGGGAACGAACATTGTGACACGAGAATTTAATATATATATAATAAAAATTTGAAATACTGTGAAATAATGATAGAAATATTAAAAAATAATAATAATAATAATTTGAAATAATAATGTTCGTGTGGTTACAGATTAAGTGTGTCCCCCCCCCCCCCTATTTATCCCGTGGGTTTCGTAAGTACTTCGTAAGTGGGGTTCGTAATTCACTACGCAGGATAAAACTGCAAAGAGAATTAAAACTTGAATCAAACCCTTAACCAACCTGTCTGGCGAACGTGGCCAAAACTTCCTTTCTAAGGAGAGGTCTATGCACATCAACAGCCTTTAATAGTCCACTGTTGTACATAGGTCTCGCTTTGGAAAAGAGGTTCTGGCCTACTATACCACGCTAACCAGACGGGTTGGTATAGGGTTTGTGTCAAATTTTCCTTCTCTTCGCAGAGCTGTTGTCCTATGTAGTTTGCTCGCTTAGTCGGCTCTTACGACACGCACGGGACGAATATGGGCGGTGACACTTAACTCCTCACCACCAGATAAGTTTCTCCCGTGTTAAAGTAATATTTAAGTGTTTTACGGGTACAAGGTTCTTATATTACTGAAATATTAGGACCCAGTCTATTGGACGGGAAATTTGCCAATATTTTTTCGATCACATTTGAAATCAAAATATATGTCTTTAATAAATAAAAATATCATTTGACACTTAGTTTTAATGGCCGCTGATAATAATACGGGTATGCAGTATTCAGGGCTCAGTGTCAAATGGCTTCCATGGACGTTCATCATAATATTCTGGATCGTATATTAATTTTCGATCATATTCTAATCTTGTCAAATAGTCAATAAGATCTCTGACGTCTAGCTGATATCTTATCATACTTTCATATAGTTGAAGGAAGTGGATATACGTAACGAAGACAGCGAAGTTATCAAAAGATCGCACCATCGCATTATACAGCCATTGCATCTGTTCCATGATTGTTCTAATGTTAGCAAATATGTATCCAATTTTATATTTTCTTGTATCGAGATATTTATTTCTGAGGACCTGCGTAAAAGGTAATTTAGAACGGCAAATGTAAAGGAAAGTTTCCATTAATGCATAAGCCCTGGGTTTTTGATCATGCAGAAAATGCCAAGGGTACTCTCCCGAGAACCTTCTAGAAGCATTCACTTGTGGCTGATTTAGTCCTTGAAAAGACCTTCTGGTGCCTTTTGTTTTTTCTTGTAATGCGTTAAACCTTCGTGTTATCGTCTCAATGTGATCAATCTCTGGATCCAATTTATTTTCTTTATCTTTTTGTTCCCGTAAAATTGATTCCAATCGTAATGCGAAACGTCGAAACTGACGTTCATTTACAGTGATATTAGATGGGGTGTCAAGAATTTGGCCTGTTTCATTTTCACTATTAATTGGCATGTCACGAATTTCTGACATGTTCATAGAAAATGGTATTTGGGTTCTGTGTAAATTTTCTTTAGCTTTATAAACGTCAATGCCCATGAGGTTTTCCAAAATTTTGTCAGGATTCGTTTCAAATGGGTCTTCGAATTCATATGATGGTCTCACATGTAGTACTGCAAATATCAACGTGTATTTATGAAAATACTGTATTACAGAAAGAAAGATTTCTCTTAAACAAAATAATCTACACATTATGAGACTAACAGCCCCGTGACTATTGACAGCAGACTAACAGTAAGCCTAGCCCTAGCCCTCCTTGTATATAAATTTGTTTTCAGACGGGACAAAGGAAGAAGGGAATTTACGGTAAGAAAAACAGGGCAAAAAAGCTAATATAAAGGATACCAAAAGTCTTGGTTGGAGATACAGAACTGAGATCACTAGGACAGTGAAAATAAGTGATGACAATACTCGTAAAATAAGCAAAAAATTTTTAAAACAGATATGTTCCAGGGCCCAGTTGGGGCGCCATCTACCGGGTTGAATTGTGACTCTAAACTACCAAAGGACCCAATTAAATACATGTAAAAAAATTATCGTTCCAGCGATTTAGGAAAAGTTTACTGATATTCACATAAAGATATTTCAGAGTGATTCTTCGCCGGGCACGCCGTTCTTGTGGCGGTAAGAGCCGTTATGGAAGATTGGCTCTAGAGGCATCACGGGACCCTCTTATAAATCATGCCTCTCATACTGATGCAGGTGATCAACGGAAAAGAATGCTACGAGTATCACCTGGGTATGGGAGCTAACGCCTGTGTGCCACAACTGCGATGGCAGGATCGTGGACTCCACACGCTGACAGACTGCCTGACGTTGGTAAAGCAGAGTCGTGACCTCGTGGCGGCCATCGGAGTGGGAATTCTCTTGATCGGTAAAATGATTGAGGCCATGGTACGCCGCCGTCTCCTTCTCTGCTCTGTTGGCGAAAGAGATCGCGAAGCTGGACCCGGAGAGGTTTAGAAGTCTCCGGGTCTGGCAGGCCCGGGAACGGACCCTAGCAGAAGCAGGCCGAATTAACGGGGTGCGCCCATACACGAGGAATTCGTCTACTAGCCGTGGATGGCTCTTGGTCCATAGGGACACCAGGGATTTCCTTCCTGGGGTACACCTGATTCTCTCCGGCCACTGATGATACCCGAGACAGCGTGCGGTTTTTCGTCGGTTCGAGTTCGAAATTTGTCAGGCCTGAAGATAAAAATCTTCTCAATACGAATACTTGAAAATTGTTCTACTTACTTAATAAAAACAGAAATATTTTTAGTATTATTATCATTTTCTCTTGAAAGAACATAAACATTAACGCAAACTTCAAACATATTGTTTAAAATAATGGTTTTCCGATAGCAATTAATATATTTCTTTTTTATCGTCATTTTATGAAGAATTAAATGGATTTTCAATTTTAATTAACTTCAATAGTTTTCTAAACACCGTAAATATCACACATTGAAAATTGTACCAAAATTTTCACACCCGGTGACAATTTAAATTAGATAATAGGGTAAACGGACAATGGTGTCGGGGCACCAGGGGGACTTCTAGGGTATAACTGGTTCCCCGTCTATTAGTACCCGAGACGCCGTGCGGTTTTAGTCGGTTCAAGTCCGACATGCCACCGATAGGTGGTATCCGAGGGGATTTCCGCACGGGAAAAAAAAAGGGTAAATGGACAATGGTGCTTCTAAAACACTGTCTGTAAAAACTGTTAATTTTGTTTTTAATTAATTTCTTAACAAAAAGAAATTTATAATCTGACACAATTTTGTAGTTATTGGTGCTTATTCTGTTGTTCGAAAACTCTCTGAACTAAACTAAAAATCATTAAAAATTAGTTTATACCTGTCCAAAAAACGTTTCGTATTTTGAAAAAGTAGTACTTGACAGGACTAATTTAATTTTTAGTGAAAATCAATAAAAAAAAAATTTGTTCAAACTCAAACTCTTTATTTCATTAAATTTTCAAAATTGTTTGAAATCTTTTTTTATGTAGACTCTAAAGTCATAGATCAACACACACAAAAGCAACAATCTCTGTTTTGTCAAATAGTAAGCAAATAAATTTAGTAGTAATTAGTAAGCAAATAAAGTTAATTAGTTAGTAGTAGTTAGTAGTAGTTAGTAGTAGTTAGTAGTAGTTAGTAGTAGTTGGTTAGTTTAGTTTAGAGAGTTTTCGAACAACAGAATTAGCACCAATATCACTTTAGGGAGATTATATGCGATTGATAATAGATAGGATAGTGGGAAAAAGCTTATTCTTCTAGAGTTATTTCCTCTAATAAGCTAAGGTTTACAGAGTGGACAGAGATCACAACAGAATGTTAACTAAACTAATATCATAAAGTGAGTATAATATAAATAGCTAATATGCAATATTGTATTGATATTAATCCTCGAATATTACAGCAGCAGAAGCAATATTCATTGTACTACTACTAAATATTAGGCAAATTAGGAAATTAATTTAAATAAAATTTGGGAATTGCCGTGGGAGAGCCTTGCTTCCGCACGAATGGGCAGGCTTTACCGGAGTGATACCACGACCTCACAGAAAAACGGTGTTAAGCAATTCTTTCGTTGCCTTTCACTGAGTGAGTGAGGTTACCGGAGCCCAAATCCAGGGTGGATTTGGGCGCTGACTCGAGTGGGAAGGACTCCAAGGGCGGCAATGCACTTGTGACTTTTGAGTTGCGGGTGTCCATGGGCGGCGGTGGTTGCTTGCCATCAGGTGGCCCGTCTGCTCGTTTTCCCCCTTATACCATAAAAAAGCCGTGTGGTGTCGTGGGACACCCGATAGGAACGAAGTTGTAACGATCGAGTAAAACTGATTCGACACGATTTTAATTACAACCCCATCTATGAAAGCGGCTATTACCTACATATTTTTCAGTTGGTTTCTAATTAAAACAATTTATACATTGGTAAAATCTCCTTGAGAAATGATTTCCTATCTATTCGATAGATGGCGCTGAATGACTGACAAGTGACAATTCAAAATAAATACTGAGATGAAAAGTAATGATTTCCTATCTTAAATTTATTTGGTTACTATTTGACAAAAAAGAGATTGTTGCTTTTGTGTGTGTTGATCTATGACTTTAGAGTCTACATGGAAGACGATTTCAAACAATTTTGGAAATTTTATGAAATAAAGAAAGTTTGAGTTTATCTATTCGATCGATGGCGCTGAATGACTGACATAAAAAGTGTCGTTACAACTTTTCGTGAGAATTTTTTCCGTCTAAAAAAAATTTTTTCACAACGCGCGGTAAGGAACTTCGTTCCAAAAAACGTCGATGAAGAAATTACGTTAAAAATAAAATCTAAGAATTGTTTACATTGTTAATTAGTTACAAATGAAGCTATTATAAAAGTATATTACAATGTAACCAAAATAAGAAATAAACTTCTGTTCCATTACAATTCGATCACTGTTTGTACTTGCCAACCAAATTATAAGAGAACATCAGTAGGCAGAAGTAACGTACTATCGATTGGCCTAAAAACGGAATAGTTAACCCTACACTGATTCTGTACATACTCTACTCTGTACACAAAGTTATTTTTTATGTATCTCTGTCTGATGATAACCGATCAACTACGAATACCTCAGCTTTGATATAAACGGGCTTGTATGCTCATTAATTTTCCAGAAACAGCTCTGGGAAGACGGAAAGTTTGCCCCAATCTCCTCTTAGGCACGATGGATATAGTCTGCTGGTTTTCTCGGTTACTTCTTTTATAGATTTTACTTGAGTCCCTAATATTATTTCGAGTTGTGACATAACATCGCACGGCGGTAAAGTTCTGAGCCGTAGGGTCGTTCACCTGCTAAAAATAGCCCTTCTCCTATTATGCCTATTATGCTTCTGCGAAACTATGAAAAATAGCATTGGTGTTCAAATTATTTTTGTGCTGTCTAAACGTGATGTTCTGGAGACATTTTCTCCAGTCAAATTCGAAACGAAATGCAAATAATGTATGTTTTGCTTTATATAAACCATGTTTAAATAATTGTGTGCATTATTGTGTTAGAATAAATTAAATCGTACGTGATATACAGGGTGTAAGGGACATCATAACGAATACTGAACTGGTGTAGTCAGACCATCATTCTGAGTCGAAAATCATTGGAATTGGTAAATAAAACGTAAAATGACTTTAACCTTTGACAGCCGATTTCAGCAGTGCCTGTCGATGAGCGTTCCGCCGTATTTCGAGCTCGTCCTGGTCTTCCCCGCTCTCACCCCGGTGGATCGTGCGAGTCTGGTATAGACCCTTGCGTCCATATCCGCTAGGATATCAAAAGGCGGGAAACGTGCCAGGGCTGTAGCCGCCTCCGACGAAATGGTGCGGTATCCCCGTACGATCCGAATGGCCGCTACCCGCTACGCTTGATTGAGCTTAGTTCGGCAGCGGGAGGAGGCCGATAGGCGCTTGGCCCATATCGGCGCCCCGTAGAGGGCCATGTATCGTATCACCGCACAGTAGAGGCGGCGAACTTTCACCCACGGTCCCCCTAGATTAGGCAACGGCCTTTGTAGGAAGCCCACTAGAGTGGTGTCCTAGGGGCGACAAAAGAAATAAAGGGAGCGTGCAAACGTTGGGAAGACGACTTCAGACAAATGGCGGGCGCTAAGTTGACCCAAATAGCTAGGTATCGAACTGCATGTAAGTCCTTGGAGGAGGCCTTTGTCGAGAGACAAGCTGTGACACATAAACCGATGTAGTATAAAGACTATAACTAGGTGAAACAAGTATTAATGTACAATGTATGTACATTAACTGCACGGATGGCGTAGTGGTTTAAGCGGTCGCCACGCCGCTTCCTACTGTACCGAGTGTTGTGGGTTCAAACCCCACATTGGACGACACTTTGTGTGATCCACAAATTGTTGTTCTAAGTCTGGGTGTACTTTCATTACTTTTCTGGGTATCATGTATGTTTGTAAAGTCCCCCGCGACACAGGATTTATTCCTAGTTCGGGAGTTGTCTTAATCAAATTGTAAATAGTATAACATGTAATAATAAGATTGTAAAGAGCAATAGAAATTATAGCTTATTGAATTTTTAATTCCGGTTTCTAATGAAGCTGTGGTACTACTCAAGTGCAAGCATGGGTCTCTAACAATAAAATTAAACTATTACTACTAAAACATATGACTTACCTAATTGACTATACGGATGGCGTAGTTATTTAAGCGGTCGTCTGAGTGTAGCGGGTTCGATCCCCACATGGGATTATACTTTTTGTGTATAATTTTTGTGTATATAAGTGCGGGATTTGTCTTTAAATAAAATACTAACCGTCAAAAATATATATAGAAGTTTTAAACCGAATTTAAAAGTAACCGTAAGGCACATATCTTGCAAGAAAACTAAATATAAATCAAACGCTTTCTCTTAAATTTAATTCCACGAATTAGAATATCCAAAATAAAATTTGTGAAATATCTCGAAACACTTCAGAGAACAATAATCATATCTTTTAAACCGACCTCTTAAGATAAAGTACCCTGAGTATTTTAATTCGTTTATATTCCTGCCTCAAAGACTTGGTTTCCAAAAATAAATCCTGTAAATTATTACAAGCTAAAATAGGTTGGACTCGAAATTCCTATCGACGATTAGAAAATAGCTGATTATTTTTAAACAACCGCTCGGATTTTCTTTTACAAGAATAACCTGTATCAAATGTTCATCATCATCAACAGCCTATAATAGTCCACTGCTGGACATAAGGCTCTCCTTAGAAAGGAGGTTTTGGCCTACTATACCACGCTGACCAGACGGGTTGATATAGGGTTTGTTTCAAGTTTTCCTTCTTTAAATATCAAATATTACCACCTTTTAATCTATGCTAATATTATAAAGCTGGAGTGTTCATTTGTTTGGTTAGTCTTATCTCAGGAACTACTGGTACGAATTGGAAAATTCTTTTAGAGTTGGATAGCCCATTTATCGAGGAAAGCTATAGGCTAGAACAATAGGAGGTGAGCATTAGTGAAAAGTTATTTACTTCAACTTAATTTTAATTACTTTAAAATACACCAAATGTACTGTTAAATTAAAGTAATAAGAATACTGAGGCCTTTAATTAATTACTATCGGCCCTTTCTTTATGAAACTCGATCCCTGTCAGGCTATTAATTTGAGAAAGAAATTTATGCGTAATTTGATTCCGTTTTATGATATTGTAGATTAATTTTAATTAATAGGGTCTTATTGACATATTAACCGATATCACCCACGAAGACACCGAAAGACATTCGGATAGTCCCAGGAAAAGTTAAACTTTCCCCCAACTAAAGTTTCAGAAGTAAATTGCACGGTTGCAGTGACTGCACGGATGGCGTAGTGGTTTAAGCGGTCGCCACGCCGCTTCCTACTACGCCGAGTGTTGTGGGTTCAAACCCGACATGGGACGACACTTTGTGTGATCCACAAATTGTTGTTCTGAGTCTGGGTGTTCTTTGTGTCCGTTCATGTATGTTTGTAAAGTCCCCCGCGACACAGGATTTATTCCTAATGCGGGCATTGCCTTTTTAAAAAAAAAAAAAAAAAAAAGAGCACAGAGATAGAAAACTTAATAAAAATAATAATAATATTTCGGACATCTGACACACAACGCCATCTAGTTTCAAACTAAGCAGAGCTTGTACTATGAAAGCTAAATTAGCTGATAGAACATATTATATAGATATATATTTTTATACAATAGATAGATATATATTATTTTTTTGTAAATACATACATATAAACACACAAACTTGTTGTTCATAAACAAACATACATCTTGTAAAATGAAAACATTCCTTAAAGCCACTTGCAAATGTTACAACATTAATCAATAACAATTTTCCTTTCGAAGCCGCCGTCTTCTGCTAACGAGGCAAGGCGTTAATTAAGGGTGGTAATGTAAAGGTACGAACACGAACGAAGGCGGTAACAAAATATTTTGTATCGATTGGTTAAAGTATCGAAACTTCCATGCTTGCTGTACACACCAATTAGCTTGATAAAATACTGGTTTCGTTGTTTGTTTTTTTATTCTACAATTTTCGTTATATTCAAGTAAGAGAAACTTACAAGCGCTATCATCTTAAGTGGATTATAAAAACCCAGGGTTACGGTTTCTCTCCACTTCTATATTATTTTGTGTCATTCGAATTTAAACTAAATTTAACTGTCATAAAATATTTATTTATTTGTTTATTTTGAACTTAATGCACAAGTTTTACAAAGGCGGACTTAATGCCATGGGGCATTCTCTCCCGGTCAACCTTCAGGTGATGTAGAAATATGATGCGGTAGGTGCAAAATAAAATATTAAATTTAACACAGGTCTAGAGACATACACAATATATCAACACACATACGAGTATGTACATACATCAATCTACATAAATTTAATAAAATATATAAATACTCAGTCGGGTACTAGCGTTGTGACTGTTCTGCCAATTCACTCCGAAGAAGATCGCGCACTTTTCGCTTGAAGGCAAGGCGGTATGTTGACATCCTGATTTCGGCAGGGAGGGCATTCCAGAGAAGAACTGACTGGACGTAGAAGGAGGAGTTGATGAAGTTGGAGGTGTAAGGGTATGATGGATAGAAGAAGCATATTGTTGGTTGATCTAAGATTTAAATCGTGATTGGAGCACAAAAAACGGAAGTGGGGTACGAGGTATTCAGGTCACGATGGAGAGTTGAGGAAAGAAAAGAGAGAAGTCAGTGCTCGTAAACTGCGGCGCTGACGAATTGGGAGCCATTGCAGCTGGGAACGTAAAGCAGACACGTGGTCATACTTGCGAAGATTGAAAACGAATCGAATGCAGTTATTGAGAGGGCGATCTAGTTTATTGAGAAGGTCTGCATTCAGGTCGAAATGACACACATCACCATAGTCAATTAAGGGAGTAATTATCCTTAATTACTCCCTTCCCGACTACGACTAAGACTACGCTTATGCAGTCCTCTGCATAAGCGTAGTCTTAGTTTTAGCGGGCAGGAAGTTCTTCAGACGACATAAAGCATGGAGACATGTGGTGACTTTCTGGCTGACGTGTGCGGATTTACCTATATGGGAGAGCTATGCTACCCCACAAATGGGCCGATTCGACCATCCTAATGCCACGGCTTCACAGAAAACCATGGTTAATCTTATGTATTTCTAACAGCTCTCTACTTATGTGTTAGTCGGTGCTTCAGGCAAATAAAAGTTTTGACTTTAATGTATTTAGAGAAAGTATAATCATGTCACGTCTATGTGACTAGGCACGGTCCTTTTGGGCACTTGGTCTTATATCCACGTGGAAAGTCGCTTCACCCTTTGATAATGGCCTATTGGGGTACCCTAAAAGTAAAATCTTCTTAAATAAACATGAACGAGGTGAGTCTTTATACAGTCACCCCTTAGAAGGATATTGGGTTTATATGTATTTTGTTATTAAAACTAATCTAGTCGTAGCCTACAATGCCGATAGAGTATTTTGACTTTAAAATTGAATTCTATTTCATTCTCTCGCCGACTTAATCCTATACATTTATGTGTTTGTTTCTTTATCGCGACACATTTTCGTTTAATCGAGCTTTAAATCACAACGATTCATTGTTTTACTTTTACTTTTGAGTTTCATCAATTTTAAAGCATAATCGGTGTTTACCTATAATAATAATATTTTAACACATTCACACAACGCCATCTAGTCGCAAACTAAGCAGAGCTTGTACTATGGGTACTGGACAACTGACATAAATACATAAATACTTCAAAATTGGAAAAAGAGACTTAGTTTGCACGACAGCTCAGTGTGGGAGCTCGCATTATTTATAAAAAGTAATTTATAACAATACAAAATTTCCTACTGCTTCGCCCATGTGTATGTCGGTTAAAGTATCTTATGTTACGCGCTGATAATGTGACTTTACTTGGGGAAAGGAATTTTTAAAAATTGGGTTAGTGGTTTAGGCGTGAAAGCGTAACGAACAAACAAACAAACTCACTTTAAAATATAAGTATGGATATAAAAGAATTAATAGGAAAAGAAAACAAAAGAGATTTAGTTTACACGACAGGTCAGTGTGGTTGTCTGATAGCTGAGGTCAGGGGACACTCTCAGGACTGCAACGCACTTGTATCTCTTGAGTTATACGGCCCATAGACGGTGGTTGTTCTTACCATCTGGTCAACCAGCTTAAAACCAGTTATCATAAAACCTTTTTTTTTACATAAGACTAACTACCATTTTCTTTTGTTCCAGTACATCTTCAGTTCGAGGAGCTGACGTTAAGAGACTACGTCCTACATTCGATAGTGGATAACTTCATAAGAGGGAATTTCACTCCGACCACCTTCACCGAGCGGCCGTGCCGAGACGAGGCCCTCCCGTACTTCCTTCCTAAGCACACCAGACCAGAAAGGTCAAAACACGTTAAGAAGTCCAAGAAATATGGAGACTCGTACAGAATATATGATAATTTAGATGTAGATGGGTACTACTTCAAACCAAAGTATCGTAGATTTAATAGAGATGAAAGGTCTGTGTATAGAAGGTTTGCGAAGAGCTTGCGGATGAGGAGGAGGTTTTTACCAGCGAGAGTCGTGAGCGGACCGCTGGCAAGTCGGACCGCGGTATTGCTGCAGTGGTCTCTCGGTGATGGTGTGCATTTAGATAGCGAGGCTACTAATGTTGTTTTTAGGTAAGTGAATCTTATTTAATATAAGTTATGTATTTTGACACTTGATCTATGGATCAAATGTCAAAATACATATCAGTCAGACATATCTTACAGTAAAAAATGCTAAATTAAACATAAAAAAAAATGGGTAGAAAAACAACAATGCTTGATAAATAATTACAATATTAATTCAGATGACAGTCTCCACCAGCCGTGATATGTCTGCCATATCTTTAATCAAATTACCGCATGAGCCAACTTTAGACATTGAAGCTCTCAGAAGCACTACAGAAGTGCTTCATGCCCATGAATGACTGAAGATATTATTATAACTTACGTCTATCCTATAGTGAGCCTTTTTGTAAAAATAGTGTGGCATGTGTAAAAGGTTGACAAAACAGATATTTTTTTACATATGGCAAGTACCTGTAAAATTTCCAGATTTAATACCAAAGAAGAGACGCTCGTTTCTTAAGAACGCCTCGCATATTCCCTAAAAACGTAGCAATTAAATTCAGACAAAAGAGAAAAAAGCTTAGACTCAGAGCAAGTCTGAAATAATTATAATCAAACTCTTAAAAACAATTCTCATTGAGAAGGTGGCGAAACTTGAGAATGAAAAATAAAAAAACCTAATGAAATGATCTGTTTTCTATATCAAGGATTTGCGTCATATTGAGCCTTATTTTTAAAAATCTTTGACTCCCATCTAATAAATGACTTATTCTCTTAAACAATAAAGATTATTTTTGCCTTTCATCATTCGGAGGATCAAGCTCATATGGATATAACTGTCACAAACCTTGACTATTGAAAAACAAGTACAACATTCTTAATTAACCTTTTAAAGTCAGTAAGTCAGTGGATACGAGGCTCTGGTCTATTCACTGCAATCTCATTCTATTTAAGCCGATGTTTAGGTAACTTACCCTATTTACTTTCTTATCTTTTGTTTATACTTGTTGTTTGACTATACTTAGACATTTTCATGTTTCACGTTGTCATTTTATTTGTGCCTGTGATATGTTTGGGTTTTACATATGTCAATTTTATACTTTTTAATAAATTTATCTTATCTTATCTTATCTTATCTTATCTTATCTTATCTTATCTTATCTTATCTTATCTTACATTCCCAAGAATGGTTAATGTCTTACAGTCTTAGAGGATCCTGGGCATAAAAAAAACAAGCCCAAACCCTTTTTAATTTACCACATTACTCTACCTAACCATTAACCAAATTATTACAAGCTTTTTGTTAGTTTTTTTATTTCTAGCTTTCTGTACTTATTGCAAATAGCACTGAATCTCTCCTCCATAAAAGAACTTCACTGTGTAACTCTCCAAAAGTTTTAAACTTTGCCCCCCAATCTATTAATACGCTCATTCAAACATTACACTACCGAACATTGTGACCATTGTGACCACTAGGAATATAAATTAATTTAAGTACCCCTTAAAATTAGTCGTAGGCTACTCAAATGTGCTAATACCCATAATGCTACTCAAAGCTAGCTAGGTTCACTTTGAACTTTAGGCATGAAGCTATTATATAAGTAAAGGATGGCCTTGACTTGTCTAAACTCAGTATGCTACTGTAAGCAGGCCGAGTCACACATTACAACAAAAGAAACACTATCCTAACATCATCAGATGAAATCATTCCTTCCCCAACGACAAACTAGCATTCACAACTAGTTGTGCGGTCGAGAGTGCCAATCGAATATCCTTTCCCACGGAACAACCAGTTGTGCAAATTTATATTTAGGAAAACTGTTTTATTTAGACTCAATCGACCAACTACCTACTCAATGAAACGCACCTCCAATACTTTTTACCTTATTTTATCTTAATTTTTTTAATAGCATGTCCTAGGGTAATCTCATTATGTAAATTTTCATCTTTTATTATTTTCAATTATTTTTTACTTTCTTTGTTTTTCATGCTTTATAAATTCAATATCACGATATTGATAAATTGTCACAAGGACAATTAATTAACGAAGTAAAGTCACCGTATTTTTATTCAAACGGTCAGAAATCTGCACAACTGGTTGTGTCGATGGAAAGGTTCGATTGGCATTCCCGAAAGCACAACTAGTGGTGCATGCTAGGTAGACGGTAGAGAATGAATTGTACTGTATTATTTCGTAACAAGAGTCGCTATTTAGTTAAACGATGACAGAAATGCTGTACTGCTACTGTTTCGTATTCTGTGTTGAAGCCAAGCTCTAATTAACAACACGAACCTTTGGAACAAATCATGTTACGTGGTGAAAATTACTGGACAGAAACCTCAACGTGATAAGAGAAATAAACTCTGTCAAACATCGCCTAAAACATCTACTATATTTTCACGCCAACCTAATTTTCCTTAATAGACTATCATCCTTCTTATCTTCTCTATATAAACACACTTCATTTCATAGACGAATGTAAAAACCGTCCTTTTCCTCACGCCCCAAGAAAATACATTCCAAAAATACGTAGCTTAGAATTCGCCCCTACTGTATTTTCCTTGGTACTTAATAATATTTTATCCTGAACCTTTACGAGATATCTCTCACCACATTCCCTATCGGGCCTTAATCCAAGGAACCCAGCTTCTATCATCATAATTTACCCGGATTCATCGCTCTTAGTTTTTATAGCGTCCTATGATAACCTTATTTTTACTGATGCACGTTCAAATACCAAAATCTAATAACATGTATTATTTACAATGTAAAATATTTATATTCTTATAAATAAAATTTGAATACTAGAAAGAAATAATCCCTAATAACATATTAACTAAAAAAACATTAAACTTATGTCATCCAAATATGTAATAAAATTAAAAGGCTATGTTTACATCACTATTATTTATTTGTATGATTAGTATACTGTCACTTTTGACAGGTGAACATTTTACAAGTAATGTCACAAGCACAGTTTACTATGTAACTTGAATTATTTATTGTATCAATACATGTGGGTACATACAGAAAGAAAACGTGATAACGTTTGTTAATGTCAAATGTCAATTTCAACGCTCTTTTGTATTAATTCTACGAAAGGCTGTATAATCTGTGCTTCCAAGGAAGGTATTATTAAGTGGCGTAGGAATACGATACGACACTAGTAGTAACAGTAAAAAAGTATCGAATACATAAGTTTCGATTTCGAAAGAAAAGTACTCAATACTAGAAAAGTATCGATATCGTTTCCCTGTCCCTAAGTACTAGAAGACACTTAATAGTTTGTACGGGCGAAATTGCATACGATTTAATAAAATTACTGCCAATAATATGGCTTGCCTTTGTTACAGGTAAACATTAAACTACTTAATACATTAAATAATAAGAATTATAATGAGTAAAATACTTTCATATTTTGTCTATTGAACGAAGTTGTTGGTACATCGCACTTGCATACTTGTAAAATGTGATTTAATCAGAGCGAGAAGAGTAATGTATCGTGTCTTGTAGCTTTAAAACGTTCTTATTTAAAAAAAAAACTTTCACTCCAAATTTAAAAAGCTATTTCAAAAACAGACTTCAAAATACAAAGCTATAAGTTACAAAACCAATTGCAGAACAATAAAAAAACAAAATTATGCGTATTGTAACAGAAGTCATTTTGCTAAAGAGGATAAATGTTAGTGTATTTTAAACTGTGTATTTGAACAGAATGCTGAGTTTTTAAACATTATATTGTTGAATTGTGACCGCGAACGGTCTCAGGCCCTTTGTGGCTTTACATTCGGTGAGCTTCGGCCTGTACAATGTAAAAATTACAAACATTTTTTTATTACACACCGTCCGAATTGGCTAGGGAGGGGTTTGCGCCTCTGGCAATCTTACTGACTCGATTAACAGAGAGAGATGTCGTTCTGAGTATAGGTGTTCTTTGTGTCCGTTTCATATATGTTTGTAAAGTCCCCCGTGAAAGGATATGACCCTAATACAGGAGTTGTCTTTTCTAGAAAGGCAGAAGAATATACATGGTAAGTGTACATACCTAGCGTGTGTACCCGTGACCCGTCTGTTCGTTTGCTCGAATTTTCATGAATTTAAATCCACCTTAATAAGACTTTGCCCCTATCAAGTGCGGAACAAATAATCTATGATGTAAGCTTGTCAAGTAAATATGACATCTAAAGTCTAGGCCGTAAATATGAATTTTCCTTGTGATACATATGCACACAATATTTTTACGATCACGTCTTATCATCGTAAAACCTCAACCAACTTGTTTACTTGCAGACATTATGTCACAAACATACGGAGAGAATGTTATTTGCCCATATCCTTCTGTTTACATTAGCTAATTCGTTAATACAACAATATTGCGTCATTATGCTTAGAAGCATCTAAATTGGTTAGTCCGTGTGGTGACGGATTAAGAATACGGAATTTCGCCATCCCTATTTATCCCGTAGGACCCGACTAAGGGAACAAACTACGCAGGACAACAGCACTGCAAAGAGAAGGAAAACTTGACACAAACCCTATACCAACCGGTCTGGCCAGCGTGGTAAAGTAGGCCAAAACCTTCTTTCTAAGGAGAGGCCTATGTCTAGCAGTGGACTATTAAAGGCTGTTGATGATGATTGATGATGCTTAGAAACGGCTGAAACGATTCTGATATATGACCGGTTGGCTATGCGTTTAGTTTACAATTCACATCGGTCTATATACCTTCATCTAAAAATTCTCCTGTCGTGCTTAATGAGTTGAGAAACTGCAATACTTTACACTAATATTATATTAGGCTAGTTAACTCAATTTGAAAACTTGGTTAATTATATACTTTTATATCTATTTTATCCCAAAAAACCTATATTTTAAAGAAAAAGCAATATTTACATTACGTATTTTGTATTTAAAAAAAAACAATTTAAATTTCCTTCGAAAACGCTGAATAGTGTCATGGCGTCTTGAATGACGTCACAGTATTCGAAATATACGGTTTACATCTGTGTCCAGCGTCGACTGTTTTCAAAAATGAATAAGGAATAAGGAGTAACCTGCTCTGTTGTATG